CCATCTTGGGGCCCCCTTGGAGGCGTCTTGGGCTGTCTTGGGACGGTCTTGGGAGCTTCTTGAGCCGTCTTGGAGCGTCGGAAAACCAGAATTGCGAGAAGGCCCAAAGTATTTCAAGCATCTTCGTAAAATCTACCATTTGGGCCTCTCGTGGCTCTCCAGGGAGGCCTCTCGGAGCGCTCTTGGGGCATCTTTGGGCCCTCTTGGGCAGTCGTGGAATCATCTCCGGCCGCCTTGGAGCACTCTTGGCCTCGGCAATGCGAATACGGCGTAATGTGCAAAAAGGTTTGCGGCTTTCGGACGCGCGAGTATGGGCTAATTCACGAGGGTATGCTGCCTCGGAGACACAAGAATCGTGCAATGTACTATGGTTTGTGGCCTCGGGAACGCGAACATTGTATAATGTTCGAGGGCCTATGGCCTCGGGGGCGTGAATCTCATGTAACTATTCTTGCGTGCCCCACGCCCCCGCAGGAACTCAGACAACGCGGTTCGGGCGTGGTGACCAGGCCGCTTTTCGCGCGGACTTCAACAATTCACAGTAGGAAGCAGAACGTAGAACTACCACAATGGAGACTGGAAACTGCAACAGGAACTACTTACGCTTCATAGCCAGGGGGCCGGCGGATTCCTCCTCTTCCTCACACTCCTCCTCCTCCATTTCCTCCTCCACCTTCACCTCCTCCTCGTCCTCCCCCTCCTCCCCTTCTCCTCCTCTTCCTCCTCCACCTCCTCCTCTTCTTCCTCCTCGTCCGCCGCCTCCTCCTCCTCCTCCTCCTCCTCCTCCTCCTCCTCCTCCTCCTCCTCCTCCGCAGCGGCCCCGCAGTTCGCGGCCGCTCGCCGGCCCAAGCCCCTTTCCTCTTCCGGAGCCCGGCCGCACCCCTGGCGGCAGATGCCCACCGATGCCGCCGCCCGCGACCTCGGCGGGAGATCCTGGGCGGCAGACGTGTCCGTGTCCGCGGCCTCGCGGGGCCCGGGCCCCCGGGCCGGGGCGTTTTCTCGCGGATGCCTCGCGCGGAGCGTGCGGCCGCGTCTCCGCGGGACGGCACCCCCGAAGCCGGACTCTCAGAGCGTGAATTACCTACCCCGCTTTCGCTTCCAGGCAAGACCAAGTCATACCACGCGCCTCCTCGTCAAGCGGCCTGACCAGTGCAGGCCGTAGTTTGGCATCGCTTGGTATCTCTTGGAAGCGAGGGTGGTCAAAAGCGAGGTAGGTTTGTTTGCCCCCTAGACTCGGTCACGCGCAGAGAGGGGGGGGGTAATTTGGGGGGAGGGGGTAAGGTGTCTCAGAAGCGCCCCTGCTGCTTGGAGGGTTCAGGAGGGGAAAAAACACACAGACACAAGTAAATCGTCGATTCCCACGAAAATGTGGAAAAATATGGGCAGCGGGGGGGAAGACGAACACCCAGAAGATATTGGAAAATATGGGGAATGCTTTTATTTATGTGTATTTATTTGTGTGTCCCAGGGCCTCTTCAAGGGCGCGGGCCCTGTCTATAGGTGCGGGGCTGGCGCTTTCTGGGACGCGGGGTGCTTCTGAGAAGCCTTCCGCCCTCCCCCTACAGTGGAGACCAATATGCCAAGAAGCACCCTGCTTGCCTCCAGGGTGCCCCGGGTCTCGATTGCTTTGCTATGGAAAGCGTGGCGTTTCCACACCAAAAGTCAGTGGACGCCCTGGGGTCTCAGGGCTGGGTTGCTTGTGGAAAAGGTTTCTTGTGGTCGGGTCCCCTACTGCACCACCTTGGGGGGCGGACAGAACCCCCAGCAGTGACACGTCGATCAGTGCATTGTCCGTTATCGGTTCTCGAGAGGGCGCCGCGGCCGTTCTTTTCCAGGCTTGCGCCCGCCAGGTTTGGGCCTCAGGCCGTTTTCACTAAACCACGTTTTACTAAAGGGAGGTCTGTCCATCCCCGAGGCTTGTCCCTCTACAGGAGGAATGTGCAAAAACAGTGATAAAAAACAAACCAAAAAGTATGGGGACTATTTTTCGACTATTTTTGTTGGATTTGGGGGGTACCTTTTGAGTATGTGTTATTTGTCGTCCAGGTTTGGGCCTCAGGCCGTTTTCACTTTTTACTAAAGGGGGGTCTGTCCATCCCCGACACCTCGTGCGCGCCGCCGGCAGACGGGCGCGGGCGCGGGCACGGACACGCTCGCCGCTCGCGAGGAGAGCCGGAGTGGAAGGGGCAGGTGCGGGCGCGGGCTCTGCAGGCCGAGGGGGACCCAAACAATTGAGGACGATGCTTCTCCTCCTCCTCCTCCTCCTCCTCCTCCTCCTCCTCCCCTCCTCCTCCTCCTCCTCCTCCTCCTCCTCCTCCTCCTCCTCCTCCGTCCGACGGAGGGTAACAGAAATCTGGGCCTCCCAGATTCGAAGAAGAAACCACTCCATTAACAAAAAACTGTTGGCGCTCCGCGCAGGATCCGCGCTGGGTCCCCCAGGCGGCGCCTCCGGCGCCGCCCCTGGCGCGCTCCGCGCGCCAGGGAGGGGGATCCAGCGCGGATCCAAGAAATCCTCGCGGAGCGCCAGAAGTTTGTTGCTTATGGAGTTGTTTTTCTTCTTCTTCTTCTACAGATGGGGTCGGAGTCCACACTCGCAGTACTGTCGGCCCTGATTAGTAGGTCGACCCTGCCAAATCACGGGTACCCTCAGGTACCCTTGTCTCCTGTGCCTCGCGACCCATGCCTCCTGCATCCCCCATGGCAGTGTGGCCCTCGGCAGGGTCTTGTGTCCTCTGGCGTGTCCTGTCCAGTCAAGGCCGACTGTAAGGACGCACGGACGTCCTCCGGGTACCCTTTGCGTCCTCGCCTCTGCGGCCCCTCCTCCGCGGTGCTCACCGGCCAGCCCCTCGGGGCGTCGGCAGTCCGCCGCCCGGAAAAGTGCCAACTTCGGCGTCCAAGGCCTTGGCGTCCTGACCGCCTGTCCCTACTATGGATTTCGACTCTAGACGTTGTACATTTCTAATTATTCGAGAGTTCTCTGATTTTTTTTTGGGGGGGCCAAGATCCTCTCATTTCTAATTGTTCTATCCTGGGCCTCTTCCTGGCCACTAGGGGCTAGGAATAATTAGAAACGGGCACACTTAGAAATGAGCACGATTAGAAATGAACGACGTGTAGATTTCGACTGTAGATGGGGTCGGAGCATTGCGCCGCATCGTCGATGCATCCGCGATGCGGCGCGATGTGGAGCCCGCTTTTCTTCACGCCTACGTCGGCGATGCGTTGGCGATGCGGAGCGCTCTGCCGACTCCATCTAACTACAGTCGGGGCCCTGAAGAAGGAACCCTTTTCGTTGGGGAGGGGCTCCGCGTTCCTTAAGTGTTTCACAGCTTGCCTCAGGTTTTCCTTATGTTTTTGATAGGAAATCGAAGTTTGTCTTGTGGAAAAAAGGGGCCTCGTTCCTTATTTAGGGCTCCTTAGGTCAACGCCCCGACTTTACTCGGTCCCGATCTGAGAGGCCTCTTTACAATTGCATGCAAATACACTGCCATAGGTCCCGACGATTTTCTTGGATCGGCGCTTGGCCCCCAATGGCAGCGCCTCCAGCGCCGACCCTGGGCGCGCTCCGCGCGACACGGGAGGGGGGCCTGACGCCGGTAAAAAAAATCCACGCGGACGCAGTAGTCATTGTGGATACGCAGATGTCTATGTTTCCACTTGCGCGCTCGCTCCACATGGGTTTCTTGGAAATCGTGGCTCGCAGCTGGCCAGAGCAGCACAACACTGCGCAGGAGCGCGCAACACTGCGCAGCATCGATCATCACCGCACAGCGGTGTGCCCTTCCCAGGGCGGTGCTGCGCGGTGCCGTGCGGAGGGGGTACAATATTCTGGGCTTCCAGCATGGGGTCGGAGTAGATGGGGTCGGAGGATCGCGCCGCATCACCGATGCATCGGCGGTGCAGCTCTCCACTCCACGCCGACTTCGGTGATGCATTGGCGACGTCGCCGGTGCATCGCCGATGCATTGGCGATGCATCGGCAATGCGGTGCGACCCTCCGACCCCATCCACCCCGACCCCATGTGGGAGGCCTCTGGGTGTCCAAGTCGTTCCCCAGAGGCCCACATGGAAAGGGCAACGCGTAAGGGCGATCGTGAGGACGACACTTGACAGCATTTCACGGCTCGGCCGTGTTGGCGGTCGGTGCCAGCTTCCTCGCAATCGTCGTTTGCCGGCTTGGGCGTACCGAGCGCCGTCCTGCCCAGCAGCAGTCGCCCCTCCGCTTTCGGGCAGCATCTGCTGTTTTTCGGCATCGTCCCCATTCCAACCCAGACATGCTCGCGCCCTGTACACAAAAAAACAGGACGGACGGTTTTGGGCCGTTCTGTGCCTCTGGGGATCTTTACCAGGCCCCGAGACCGTCAAAAACGATTCAGGGTGGAAACCCGGCCCTGGGGAGGTGCGGGCCCAATGGGGTTCCCCGACCGCCGAACGCGATGCGGTAGTAGCGTCTTCTGCGCTTGTGTTCGGTCCCCCCGCGGCCCCCCAACAGCCGCGCACCAAAGGTCACTCTCGCCCAGGGTCACTCTTACGCGTACCCGTAGGACTTCAGGAACCCCGCAGAGAACAAATCAGGACATCGCAGGTCTGGGGAGTAAAGCAGCGGAAGAGAACAACAGGGCCCACTGCGCGGACAGACGCGCGTGAGCTTCCCGCGCGAGGTCGCGCGCAGGCCTCCTCTTCGACCGGCAGTGTGCCGCGCCGGCGGCCCGCGCCAGCCGCGACGGCAGATCGCTGCGACTTCTCGCGCGGGACCCTTGTGTTCCGTCGCCCAAGTCGAAGAAGAAGAAGAAGAAGCGGCACAACCATAAACTGATGGCGCTCCGCGCGGATCTCTTGGATTTGCGCCTGGCCCCCCCTGGGCGGCGCCTCGGGCGCCGCCCCTGGCGCGATCCGCGCACCAGGGAGCGGGGTCGAGCGCAGATTCAGGAAACACGCGCGGAACGCCAGCAGTTTATGCGTATGGCGTTCCTTCTTCTTCTTCTAGTTCCGTCGCTCAAATGTCCACCTTGTGGGTGCGCGTAGCAGGCTCAGGAGGGGAAAGAACACAAAGACAACGAATTGTCGACCCCCAGGAAAAGATGGGAAACTGTGCCATGAACTGTGGGAAAGTATGGGGAGTCCAGGGATTCGTGTGTGTGTGTGTGTGTGTGTGTGTGTGTTGATCTGTGTGTGGTTTCCTGCACATCCACTTCGGCACCGCCTGTTCCCCGGGCCCCGCCCGCTCCTGGCCGCCTGAGGCCTGCCTTCCTGTGCCCTGTCTCCCTAATCAAATCTGCGCGTAGCCCGCCTAGCTTTTAGCGGAAGAGGTTCGCTCTCGCCCCGCAGATCAATTGTGGGAAGATATGGGGAATCCAGGGATTCGTGTGTGTGTGTGTGTGCGCGTGTTGATCTGTGTGTCTTTGGGCACCTTCACAGGCCAAGGAGAAGGAGAAGGGCCGGGCCAACGGGCGCTCCAGTGACCGGGGCGGCCACGGCGGCACCATCGAGGCCGGGGGCCCGCCCAGGAATCGCGGGCGGGCCTTGGCCCTCCTCCCCCTCCTCCTCCTCCTCCTCCCTCCTCCTCCCTCCTCCTCCCTCCTCCTCTCCTCCTCCTCCTCCTCCTCCTCCTCCTACTCTCCTCCTCCTCCTCCTCCTCCTCCTCCTCCTCCTCCTCCTCCTCCTCCTCCTCCTCCTTCCTCCTTCGGTGCCGTGTCTGTCACCCCCGGGCTATGGCTGCGCAGAGAGCTGCTCGCTGATACGTAACATCTGTATTTCGTATCTTCCGAGTCCGGGCCTGACCCCCCCCCCGCCGAGAATTGTGGCAGGGGGTCCATGATGCCAGGGCGTGTCATTCGACCGACGGTCGAATAGAATCGGGGGGGGAGCCCACGGCACCAGAGCTCGTCATTCGACCTACGGTCGAATAGAATGCCTCGCCGAGGGCCAGTTACCCTCCCCGAGGTTTGTGGCATGGCAGGGGGTCCACGGGCCAGGGCGTTTCATTCGACCGACGGTCGAATAGAATCGGGGAGGGTCCATGGTGCCAGAGTTTGCCATTCGACCGACGGTCGAATAGAATAGCTGCTCGATAATACGTAATTGTGGTATTTCGGATCTTCCGAGTCCGGGAATGAGGGGTGGAAATTCGAGAAACTATTCCTGACGGATAGGCACCCTATCCCGATGTACGGCCGAAAGCCACAAGTGGGGTTTGGCCCCCTTGATATCAGCAGGTGGCCGATAGCTTGCGGCAGTACCTCCGACTTTGAGGATGTGGCCGCCTCATCCTTAAAGATGGGTTCAGGTACCCTTTAAGCCTATAGCGCGCTTTGTAATCCTCCTCCTCCTCCTCCTCCTCCTCCTCCTCCTCCTCCTCCTCCTCCTCCTCCTCCTCCTCTTACTAACCCTCTGCCTCTCCCTCCCCCTCCCCCCCCCATCCTCCTCGCTCTCCTACTCCTCCTCCTCCTTCTCCTCCTCCTCCTCCTCTCCTCCTCCTCCTCCTCCTCCTCCTCCTACTTCTCCCCCTCCCCCTTCCCCTCCCCATCCTCTTCGCTCTCCTCATTCTCCTCATCCTCGTTCTCCTACTCCTCATCCTCCTCTTGATCCTCCTCCTCCTCCTGCAGCCTTGATGCTTGGACCGGACACCAGCTATGCCACTACAGTTAAAGCGCACAGTACGGATGAGGACCTGTCCAAGGTTACCTTCGCGTACTTGCCCCCTGGCCGGCCTCGTTTGAAAATCGTCAGAATGCCTTTCAAGGCCCTGGCATCCTTGCTGCGCATCCTTGTTGTGCGTCTTGACCGTATGCCGCTTTCCACAACTGTATGTTTCTTTTGTTCTCCTGGTGTGGTGCTTCGCGAGACCAGGCGCAACATACCCAGACACCCGACGTCGTGTCTTTCCCGCGGCGTGGACCTCGGAGGCCTCGGCCCCTTCCCTGAGAGGCAGTTGTTGTTCGCTCTGGGTGAGGCCCCCCCCTGAGGCCAAGGGGGGATGGCCACAGGGAGGCGGAGTCGTTGGAGAGAGAGGTGCCCACAGGATAAATTCTTCACGCCTCGCCTAGCCCCACCCAGCCCTCTTGGAGCCATCTTGGGTCACACTGGGCGCTCTGATCGACCGCGGCCCCTCCCCCGAAAAGGCACCCAGAGAGAGGGGAGGACTCCTGGGAAGGAAGAGGCTGTTGAAAGTGGAAAGACAGAACTCGCTAGACCACGTCAGCCCAACGGGCTTGTGGGATTTGAGTCGGCCAGGTGGGCAGCAGCAGCAGCCGCAGTCGCAGCAGGCGCAGCGGGAGCTGCCAGGTTGCAGGGGCAACGCCAGGGGGGGGACTGGCTCGGGGGGGAAGGCATCGATGAGGGGCCGATGTACCACCACCACTACTTACCATAGGTAGCAGAGGGAGGAGGAGGAGGAGGAGGAGGAGGAGGAGGAGGAGGAGGAGGAGGAGGATATGGAAATGGATATGGAAATGGAGATGGAGATGGAGATGGAGATGGAGGAGGAGGAGGAGGAGGAGGAGTGGAAAGGGGGCCCATCAGTTGACCGAGGAGGGGTAGGAGGCGGAGGAGGAGGAGGAGGAGGAGGAGGAGGAGGAGGGGGAGGAAGAGGCATCATTGGAAAACGAGGAAATGAGGAGGAGGAGGAGGAGGAGGAGGAGGAGGAGGAGGAGGAGGAGGAGAGCATCGCCCTCCAGTCTCCAAAAAACGCCGCTCCGTCATCTCCCCTCGGCGCCCGCGTGCCCCGCCCCGCCCCTGGGCGCGTGCGCCTTTTTCCTGCGCCGGGGGCATGCTGCCCTATATAATATCTATCGGCGATGCCTCGCCGTTTCCAAGGCAATAGTGCTGCCTCCCCACCGCCTCCCCGGGGCTCGTGTCAAGTCCTCCGATTCGATTCTGGGCTCTCTTCCCCCCCTCCCCCCCCCTGCGATGCCCCCTAAACAAAAAGCTGTTGGCGCGATGCCCCGGTCCATTGGCGCGATGCCCCCCCCCCCTCCCTGCGAGGCCACCCCCGCTACGCATCTACTGGCGCAATGCCCCGATCTGCTGGCGCGATGCGCCCCCATCCCCCCGCCCTGCAGGGCTCGTGTCGATTCCTCCGAGTCGATTCGATTCGATTCCGATGGCCTCCGATTCCGATTCGATTCGGATGCCGATTTCTCAGTGGAGGCCTACTAGCCGGCCGACTTCTCCCGATTCGATTGTTCCTCACTCGGCTGCCGATATCGATTCACTTCCATCGCCGATCCGACTCATCGATTCGATTTTGGGCTCGCGCGTACTCCAAATCCCTTATTAATCGTCCCACGGGTTCGGTTTTTAAGGATGCCTTTTTTGTAACTGGGGGGGTCTGGTTGATTAGGACGCTTTCTTTGGATTGGAGCTTAGGAGGTACGGTTGATTAAGGCGCCCCGTCGAAGAGGGGGGTCCAGAATATCAGGTCGCGTTTGGAGGGGGGTCTGGTTTTTTTTGCGGGGGGTCGATTAATAAGGGGTTTGGAGTGCCCCCCCCCCTGAGCTGGTCCCCACCCGTCCTTGCCCCTCTCAAGGTTGTCGCCTGCAGCGGGAGCGGGAGCACGAGCAGCTCCAGCAGCAGGGAGCCCCCCCTTGTGGTGGGCTCGCGTTGCGATGGCCCTCTTGCCTTACAGTCAACGCGCCTAGTAAGGACGCGCGCCTTCATCTAGGGTGCCCTTGCGTCCTTGCCTCTGTGGCCCGTCCTTTGCCGTTTTCACTGGTCGCCGCCGCCCAAAAAAAACCCAACTTCGGCCTCCAAGGGTCTTGCGTTCTTACCACGCGTCCTTACTATACGTTTTGACTGTAAGTCGGGCCTGTCCCTCCACAGGGGGAACATTCAAAACAAATGAAAAAATCGTCTGGGGATGAATAGTTTTGTTTTTCGTGGAAAATCCCCCTGTAGGGGGACAGGCCCGACCTAACTCTTGCCAGTCTTGTCACCACGAAGCAACTCGGAGACCAGACCACACACATTACCAGTGGCGGGCTGTTTTTCAATCGCAGGATTTGATTTCGAGTCGGGGGACGACATCGGGGTAGTGTGGTGTACACTTTTTCCCCGCTTGCCCGGGGAAGCAGCGAAAAATGTATACACCAGGATCCCGTATACACCCGGATCCGCTTTCTTGTGCGAGTTTCAGTGCGGGGCCAGAAAAGGCGTCGGTGTATAGAGTTCGGCTCCTTAACAACGTCGTCCCGAAACGGATCATGGGGTTTCTCGCCATCTTCGCCCAGTCGGGGCCTTCCCTGAGCTCCAGGACCGTCAAGATGATTCCAGCGCCAGTCCAGGGGAAATCTTGAGGTCCAGGACGCGTTTCCTCGGGACCGTTTCCCTCGTAAGTCGGACATGTCCCTCTACAGGAGGAACATTCAAAAATAACCAAAATCAAAAAACGGTCTGGAGACGATGTTGGGACTCTTTTGAATAGTTGCTGAATCTGTTGTATGATTCGTCAGAAATCGGCTTGTAGGAGAACATTCACGAGGGGAAAGACACAGACAGAATTCATCGTCGGCAGCCAGGAAAAGATGGGAAAATATGGGAAGTGTGGGGGAAGACGAAAACCCCGAACATATGGGAAAATATAAGGAAATCCTGCTAGTTGCGTGCATTTATTTGTGTGTCCCTGGGCCCCTTCAGACATGCCCGACCTAACCTTTGTGCAGTTTGCCGAAACGAGCAAGTGCAGCAAAGCATCGCCACGGGCAGCCAGGCCTTCTGGGTCAGCCTCCCGGAGGGCATGCTTCAGGAGGGAGATAAACACAGACACAATTAATCGTCGATTCCCCAGAAAATATTGGAAACTATGGGAAGTGGGGGGGAAGACGAAAACCTTGAAAATATGTGAAAATATGGGGAATCCTGTTATTTGTGTCTACTTATTTGTGTGTCCCTGGGCCCCTTCAATGCTGGAGGCCGCCCGGGGCCTCCTGGGACTCCTGAGTGCAGGAGGCCCCGTGGGGTGTTGGGAACGTTTGGATGCTTGTTTCGCTGTCTTCGGGGGACACTGACCCTGACTTTCCAGAGTGCTAAAAAAATAGCCCTCCAGACCTATAGACCAATCTGGACTGCCCAAAGGTTGGACCGGAATTTGGAAGTCGAGGTCCTGGTGCTATTTGTCTAGCCCTCCTGCAAGGTCAGGGAACGCACCACCTCACCCATCCTGGCCGGGCCGATCCCGGGGTCAGGAAGGACGTCGGCGCACCCCTGGCCGAGCCAGCGCGGCCTGCACACCCGTCCTGGACCCGGGATGGCCCGTCCGGAAGGGCGTCGCCCCCCTGGGAAAAGGAGCGCTCCAAGAAGGGAGACGAAAGAGAAAAGAAGAGCGCTCCAAGAGCGCTCTCTTCACTCCTTTCTCCTTCCTTTCTTCTCCTTTCTCGTTCTTCCTTCTTCTCTTGGCCTTCTCTCCCCTTGCCCTTCTCCGTTCTCCTCCGTTTCTTTTTTTGGGGGGCGCCCGAGGAGCGTTCCAAGAGAAAGAAGAAAAAGAAGAAGGGCAAGAAGAAGAGGAAGGCCAGCAGCACCAGCAGCCGGAGCCGCAGCAGGCGGAAGCGGCAGAAGCTCGAGAGCAGCATCGCGGACTCCGTGGCCGCCGCCCTGAAGCGGGCGTCCCGCGCGTCGCCCCTCGGCTCGCCGGCGATAGGGAACCTGGGCATCTCCGCCGTGCCCGTCTGGATCAAGGATGGCCTGGCATCGCTCGGGCGTGTGCATTCTTCCTCGGCGAGAACCATCGAGGATCATCCTGGACCATCGAGCAAAAAAAACACGCACGAAACCAAAACAATGCACGGGAAGTGGACGTCCGAGCGACGGCAAGGACGGGCGGAGGGCAGGCCCGGCCGGTCGACGGCCAGATGCGGCCAGTCCGCTGGGGGCTCACGGGGGCAGCGCCAGAGGAGTGGCCGATTGTCCCCCACCGCTTACCATTGGTAGGTGCAGGAGGAGGAGGAGGAGGAGGAGGAGGAGGAGGAGGAGGAGGAGATGGGACTTGCCCAGGGGGGAGGTGCATCGACCCCCACAGTCGTCCGCTCGTCCCCAATCGGGGCCCAGGCGCCCCACCCCGCCGAGGCACGAAGCCCGACTACCAGGGCGCTTCGCGGCAGCGGCGCCACAAGCGCGGTCGGGAACTTTTCGCCCCAGCGTGTCGCTCCACCAGTTGTCAGTCGGGCACGTCCCTCTGCAGGAGGACTGTTCAAAAATAGTAAAGCAATAGTCTGGTGGCAAATTCTCGACTACTCTTGAGTATGTTTGAAAATTGTTTGACTATTTTTCAGCTGTCCTTCACAATCCGCCTCCAGGAGGGCATGCCCGACCTAACACAAGCGCGGTCGGGAACCTTTGCCTCAGCGTGTCGCTCCGCCGGTTCTGGCCCACCACGCTTCGGCGCGACACGCTATCCACCTTCTCGTTCCCAAGCGTCGACGTCTCGAATTCTTTTACGAGCCTCCCGCCCCGCAGAGCGCCTCCTCCTCCTCCTCCTCCTCCTCGTCCTCCTCCTCCTCCTCCTCCTTCTCCTCCTCCCCGCTCCCTGCTCCCTGCTCCCTCCTCCTGACGGCGACAAGTAGGAGTGAACCCGGGCCAGAGGGACCAGTGGTGCGCCGCTTTCGGACGTCCTCGTCGGATCTCGGCGGTTGTCCAGCTCTCAGGGTGCGTTCCGGCAGCTGCGCCTCGCCGAGGGCGTTCGGGGGGTGCCCAGATCGTCCCGAACGGCCGCCGGAGACTTGAGAGTCAGGATCCGAAGATCAGGGGGGAACGCATCGACCCCCAATCGCCCACTCATCGCCGATAACTAAAGGGCCCGACAGCCGACGCCGCCCAGGAACGAGCGGATTCGCTGTCGGGGGCCCCATCGCCGATAAATCATCTATCGGCGATGTACCGCCGATTCCTGGTCGGTGTGGGTGGGGGGGGGAACAGCTAGGCACGCTGGCGCGACATGTGGCATCTTACCCCCTTCCTCCCACCCCTTCCCCTGCGTTGAATCACGTTCGTTTCCACAGACTGGGGTGTCCTAGGGGACCTTGATTCCCAAATGGTGGTTGCAGGACTTGACCCGTCTTTTGCTGCGCAACCGTCAAGGGGAGTCGTTCTACGTTGGAGAGGGATGAGGAGGGGGGAAAGAGCAGGAGCAGGAGTAGGAATGGCAGAAGGAGCAGGAGGACCAGGAGAAGGTGGAGTAGCTAAAGGAGGGAGGCAGCAGTGAAGATAAAGAAACCATATCCAGAAGCGTGACACGCGCTGGGGCGAGAGCGCCGTTACTGAACGACGGAAACAAAGCTCCGACCTTGAACAATGGGCAACGCTTCAACAGAAACACCGTTTCCTGGTAAACCGAAACTGGAAACAATCACGTAAGGAGTACTAACCTTTGAAATTCTGTGTGGGGGTGTTTCTACAGATACGGGAGAGGCGGCGGGAAATCAACACAGCATCAAGGGGAGAGGAGGGGTACGAATTTTGTCTCATGGCCGGTGGAGGAGGACGGAATGGATGATGCCCAAGGAAAACGATGAGGATCAGGAGGAGAAGGAGGAGAAGGAGGATAATCAGGCGGCGTAGGATCGGAAAGAGGTTAAGGGGCCACGCGCGCCTTCGCACAGGCCGAGCCTCTCGTTGGGAGGGGTCTCGTGATGTCCCGTGGGCGTTGGCCGGCTCGGCCGGCCCGGGAGGACAGGCCCGACACGTCGAAGCTCGGCATGGACCTGCAGACCGGGGGCTCCGAGCGCTCGCTGCCGATGAGCCAGGCCGGGGGGCCGGATGACAAGCTCAGCCTGACCAACGGCATCTGCATGGAGTATCCAGTGGCGCTGCCGCGCGGTTCCGCCACCGCGATCGGGCGCGAGGGGAGGGGGCCCCCGGGGGGGGGGGGGGGACGGGGGGAGGGTCCATGAAACCCCTTGTCCCCAGGCTCTGTATGTGGGATCATTGTTTGTTAGGAAGGCCAAAATCGCAGGGGTATGGCCTCAAAAACGAACGCATCTTGGGCTCCATGCGTCGGGGGGGGCCAACTCCTGCTTCGCACAAGGCGCAAGGCCCCGCCGCGCACCAACCGCTGCAAGCGAGGTGGCGGATCAGCGGGGCCTCTGCCAGCGCTCCAACTGCCCGTTCAAGCACCTGGCGGCGGTAAGGTGAGGCATCTTCACGGACCCTCCTCGGCGGGGCCTCTGCAGGCGCTCCGGCTGCCCGTCTACGCAAGCACCTGGCGGCGGCAAGATGGGGCATCGGCGTGGAGCCTCGGCGGGGCCTCTGCCAGCGCTCCGGCTGCCCGTCCAAGCACCCGGCGGTGGCAGGATGCGGCGGCAGCCTGCGCACGATCCTTGGCATGCGTGCGCGTGCCCACGTGCGCGCAGCTGGGCCATGGACCGAAAAAAAGCTGGTGCGTCCCCCCGTTCCTGCTCTCGCTCCCCGCGCCCCCCCCCCCCGGTCGCCCATGCCGTTCCCCGGGTCTCTTCCCCGTCTTCCCCTCCGCGGATTCCTCCCTCCCCGCTCCTATACAGGGCCTCGTCCCCCGTCCAGCCCGCCCCGTCCCGGCCGCCCCGTCCCGCCCGCCCCCGCCCTCCTCTCGCCCTCCTTCCCCCCCATCCCCTCTCCCTTTCTCCTCCCCTGCTGGGGGGGGGGAGGGTGGCACCTGCCTGCCTGCCCCGCCCCTCCTCCTGTACGCTCTAGCCTCCCGCCCACCACTCCCAGGAGCCATTAGTTACCGCCGCCCGCCCCCCCCCCCCCCCTTGGGGTTCCCCCGCCCCCCCGCTCCATCGCCCTCCCCGCTCCAGCTCCCCTCATCCTTCCCTCCTCTTTTGCTTCCCCGTCCTCTTCCCTTGCTCCCCCCCCCTTCCTCTCCTGCCGCCCCCTCCCCCCCCGCCGCTCGCGC